TCTTTCCTCTTCTTCTTTTTTCCCTTCAACAAGGCCAAATAGAAAAATTCTAATTTTTTTCAGTTTCATGGTAAGCTCTATCCACACACTCAGTTGTCACATTTGTGCAAGCTCTGTTGTTTGCTGAGAATTCGGACTTTGTGGTGCTCTGATACTCCCTTACTCTTCTTTTTTGTGTCTATCTGTTAATCAGGCTTTATCTTTTCCTCAAACTTTCATTACATAGACTGTTGCCGCCATGGTTTTATTTTGGCAATGGTAGTAGGCAGAAAGTGTCTTCTAAAGCTGAATTGTGAGAACTCTTCACACAAGTGTTGCAGATCCAGCTGGCATCCAAATCATGTGCAAACAGATTGCCTTCCTCCTCCAAATGCTTTTCTGCTTCAGTCTTTGTCCTTCTCGATCTATGCAGCTTGCTATAGCTAGATCCCCTTAGTAAAAAATGCATTGTACTCAACTTTCAGATGTTTTATTGCAGAGAAGCACAGTTGGTACAGCTATCAATCTTTGTTTTTTCGTGATGGTAGCTCTAGTACATCGATAAGTGCTTTCAAAATTGGGCTCAAGCTTTATAATGGCATGGGAAGAGCCAGAGACATGGCACAGACTGGAAATGCTTCTGGGAGTTAGATCTGAGAAGAAAATGGGAAGCAGCACATTGTAGTAAGAGGATTTTATGCTTTGTTTTCCAATTTGTTTTTGCTTACAGCGACGCATGGTAATCTAGTTTGTAGGTGCCTGATACATTGGCCATACGGATTCCCGTACAGGGGGAGGGACAAGGTAGAGGAGAAATAATACATTTTTGGAAGCGTGTGCTACCAAAAGCATATGTGTCCAAGTTTTTTGAGGAGTCAAAGAAGACCTAGAATTTCCATCCAACTGTGGAAAGAATGGCTGTTTCCCATCATGAAAAGGTGGAGGTCTTCAATGTGTTTCCCTTTGCAAAGAAGCATCACTTTGGTCTTGTCTGGATTCAGTTTGATCCATCTGTTCTTCATTTAAGAGCTAATTTCCTGTAGTTATTCTGATGTTTTATAGTGATGATAGTTGCATCAGAAAATGAGATAAATAGTAGATTGTCAGCAACATACTGTTAGCAATTGAACACATGCCATATCACTCTCTCTCTCAGCAGTCTCATGTAGATAGATGTAGATTATATGGATCCCTGTGGGATCCTGAAGGTGAGGACCTTGGAGGAAGAGGCTCATATCCACCACCTTTTTTTGAATTGCATGTAGAACACAGCACTACTGTGTTGTTGGGACTGTGTAATAGAGGATTCAGGTGTCTGAGAACAGGAATCTGGAGATTACAGTTCCATGGTTGGTGGAAGTTTTATAAATTCCTCCAGGAAGTTGTCAGAATTTCCATCTGTAGTTTGTGTACCACTAGAAGCCCTGGTTCCTCTAGTTCTTTGCCTCACAGTGCATATGGATATATTCAAACATTTTAATTTCTTGGTGGAGCTTCTTCTACATCTGACATTGAGACCACAGGACTCTTCCTCCATGTTTTCTTTGCTATTTTTTTTTGAAACTCTGGTATTTATCTTGGCATGTTACTAGTGGCGTTCTGGTATCTATCTTGGCTCTTCTGAGGGGTAGCTGTGCTATGATAGGGTTGAGATGGTATTTAATCATGTTGCATAAATGTCCAGGTGTTTCATCTGCAAGGAGAGTGCAGATGTGTTCTTTTTCTAAGGGGAAACTTTGCATTCATCAGCAAGATCTTCAGATAGTTTTTTTCTTTGTTTAATGATGTAACTGTCTAAGCAATTGGCTGCAAATACGAGCTTGTGGTGTTTATTGCAACATGCGGTCTTCTGGGAAGGTGACTCCTTGCCCTAGTGATACCAAGGACTAAGAAAAGTAGCACATAATCACAGAATCACAGAATGATGGCACGTAAGGTTTTGGGCAGCCCTAGTTTGCCTATTTTTTTCGGATTCCCATGACCTAGAAGTGTTGTACAGTGTAGTCTCTATGATTTGAATGCTTGGCCCTTACACAGATTGTAACAGCAGGCAAGTAGTGTTGGAGTGACAGTCTGTGGTCTTGAATACTGAAGTGGTGTTTCTTCCAATTTTTTAAAACTCTTCCACTGACATGAGAAAGCAGCAGGTGGTTACAGGGTAGCATACACTAGAGATGGACAGGTAATGGCAGGAGTGCAGGGCTATGGGTTCTCCAGCAAAAAGGGAGGCAAAGGGGTTGATTGATAGGTTCAAAAATGAAACAGAACCTCCTTATATCCCTAAGGCTGTGAACAACTTATCTACTTGGTTTTGATTTGTTTATTTTCTGCATCTGACATTGAGACCAAAGGACTCTTGCTTTTCTTACAATCAAATTGTCAGGGGGAATGTGTATATCAGGATGAGATGCATAGTTTTTTCGGGACTGTTGATAATACCTCATGCTACTGTAGTAGTTAAATATGAAGCTTATTTGACTTCCTTTGTTTCTGATGTTTTGTATAACATAAAGATAATTTGGTAGGACCCAATTATGGAAACAGATGTTTTGCATGTCAAGCCAAGGTGTCTGGATGGAAATTCTGAGGGTAAGGTTGGGAAAGATTAATGATTTCAAAATATGTGGATAAGTCTTACCTGTCAAATAGGCCAAGGCAAATCCCTGTATTCAGATGCTTTCACTGTAGGCAGGATATTTGAAATGCAAATATTATAGCAGAGGCCTACCTCTATTAAAGCCAAAATTTGAAGAAATGACCTTGTTAAGAAGTAATTTTGCATTACAAAACATTAATTACAGTTGGCCAATCTCTGTCTGCTATGGGCTCGAAACAGTGTAGTCAGCACAGTTGTAATGTCAGCGACTCGTTTTCATATGTTATATATACATGGATACCTACACATTGTCTGCATTACCAAAAAACCCTAAGCCTCATCAACCAACAAGTTTATTGTTTATCAGGTGCAAAAAAACTTTAGTGTAGAACTGGCATTAATTAATTAGTCTGTTCTGCAGTTTTATCTGTGGCTGTTCAAAGACTCATCCTATTTAATTTACTTCAGTGATTCAAGTTTATCCTTCTACCCTTGACTTTTATCTGAAAGCATTTCAGTGTACTAAGCTGTAATATGCATAGGTTGTGGTGCAGTTCCTTTCTAAAAAATGTTAGACTGTCATGTCTTACATCAATATACGTGTGATTATAGAGCAAGATGTTGTTGCTAAAGCTGGGTGAACAATTTATTATTAATATAATTCATTAAGGATGAGAATGAGTCTTTAGGTTTGGATGGAGTATGACGTAATGTGTGAATGAATATGTTGTCTCCTTGACTGCGTAAACAAAACATTATTCTTCCCTTGCTCTCCTACTTCTTTGCTAATTAACACAAATTAAGAGAAAAGCCGTGAATCCTTCCTCTTTTCCTCCAGGTAGGTAGGTCAGGAAGAAACTCTTGCTTTGCTCTCTTCTAATAAATCGTTGTCAGAACAGGTTCAGTATATGACTACATGAAAGAGAAAAAGCTCATTTCTTACTCCCTCAGGTATCAGCAGAAATTCAGATGTGTGCAGAGGGGAGCAGTCTAATGCATATGCCCTCATTATGCGTACTAGGACATTGTGAATAATGCCAGTTTTCCTTACCTTTATGTATTCATCAGAAGGTTTGAAGAAACTAACACTGAACTTCACAACTGCCGTTATATTTAACTCCCCATAGAAAACCTCCAGTATTTTGTGAGTGTGTGTCAGGCCATTTAAATCACAAGAATTTTATTTATTTAGCTGTTTTTTCTGGCTGGTAAACTATTTGAGTGTAAGGAACTTAAAACGGAAGGAGAGACACTCATAAGACTCATAAAAGAATAAAGATTCAAAAATTTGCACAAATTGCCCGAAGCCTTGTAAACAATGAAAAATATAACCTTAAAGATGAAGTGTTTTTCACAAAAAATTAATTTGTTCAATTTACTTAGTAGTCTCTGTAGGCTATTATGTGCATCCTCAAACATGCATGAACACACACATATATACACACACATGGTAAGTTTGTAGTTGTACAGTTAAAAAAGTTTTGAGGAAAATGTATCCTATTTACTGCTTAGCTATGTGACCAACGCAGAACTGTAATATAAATCTCCGAAATTTCTATCCCATTGTTTTTATTACTGAAGAAAGTAGATCAGGATGATAACAGTTGGATGCAAAAAGCAATTATATTTTCAGGATAAAAATAGTGCTATTGTTTAGTAAGCTATACTACTTAAATGTATTAGGGGGGTATACTGGCTTGCCCTGGATGGTTTTATTCTTTTTCTGTAAAAATATCTTCCGTTTCCACCCCCCACTAAGAAGGAAGGAATGTTTCCCATTAAGATATGAAGTGAGTTTGTTTTTCACTTTTGCCTTTTATATAGGGATACTGAATATAAAGGACTACAGCTCTCCCTGGATCAGGTCACTGCTACCAAGCCGGCATTCTCATACGCAAATTCAACTCCGACCATAACGGATAATAGAAAGGGAAGCAAATCTCGCCTCTCGAGCACAAAGTCAAAATCAAGGACATCACCATACCCACAGGTAGTTGTCTTTGAAAAACAAAATTAAATCTTTTTGACTATCTTGATTTTGACTGGTATTTTACCCAAGTAATTAGAATGGGCCAAAGAACGTGTTACTCAAAGGGAATAAAGGACGACAGGTTATAGGATCTTGAGACAGGAATATGTTTCTTTAAACTGTTTCTAGAAGGCTGGAAACATTTATGTTTCGGCATGCATCATAAATCATCATCAACAACAATAAAAGCACAGGGCTCACAGTTAATGAGGAGTGGACAGAAGGACAAGTGAAAATGTTGGTTTTGAAATACTTGGTTTGAGAGGATTGTGAGTTTTGCCAGTTGAGAAAACTTGCTTTTTATTACTTACTTTTCAATAATTCCAACATATCTGGAACGTTGCCAGGTGTTTGATAGCTGTTTAATACTAAAATGTTAGTCAGGAGGATTGAGTTTTGAGGACGAAAAGCAACACGCTAGCTTGCTGAACTGGAACAAGAAAGCTTTTCTATGCACCAAGTTTTGAAAGGGAGAAAGCTCTAGGAGGTGGCCATTGGCATCAGTAGACTTTAATTTCCCTGATTTCATGTTCAGGCCTAATGTTAGGAACATGTCCTAGGAGAATGGACCAGACTTGACTGGGTCTTTAAACTGGAGCTTACCCAATACATTTACGCAACTGATTTCTCCAGACAATGTCACAACACTTGCATTACTGACATTGTCAGCTTTTTAGCTCAAATAAATCTGATTTGCTGAAATAACCATTATGTTTACTAAATAATGATGCAAGTCTTACAGCCCTTATTCCACCACAAAGTGGATATAAATGTATGCATTCGTGATGTAACATTGAAGAGCTATGTATTTTTAAAGAGTCCAGGTCAATATTTAACTGATAACGACCTTGATGACTACAATTTCTCTGCAGGCACAATGTGTTCTAAACTAACCTCTAAAAATGTACAATGTGAGCCCAAGAATCTACATCACTTCCTTGTTTTCCTTCTTTTTCCCCTCAAAAGTACAAAGGGTAAGAAATTAATTTAAATGATATCTGCATGTGGTACAGGGAATATTTAACCGAGTGCCTAGATATGAACTCAGATTCTTAATTTCAAGCATCTAATTTTGCTAGATATTGTTCTGGCTTTTATTGCTTAATCATTTGTTCACATGCATTTCTGTGGGTTGTTAAAGAAGCGTTTTTCTCTTGAATATGCTACACCAAACAATTGTAATAAAACTGCTTTAAAGAATTGGGAAAGATACCTACAACTAATTCTAAATTAGATTTTTAAGAATACTATCTTTGATTTACCGATTTTACCTTTATCTCTCCTTACACAGTTTTTTCAGAAGTCCTCATTTGCTAGCAGGACAATCCTAACTGTTATCCTTCCACATCAATTCACTTTCTGAAAGTGTGATTTTCATCAGTACCTCCTTATTCTCTCTGCCACAAGAAAAATTCCTGATCTAACAGAGATTAGACAACTAGAGACTGTTGGTTTATCAGGGATTGTTGTCTGAAAGCTCAGGATATTTAGTCCCCAGTTTCATTTTGCATCCTCACTACCAGCTGCCTCATAGTAAAATCAAAGATTTCGTCATTCAAAAAGAAACAGCCGTGCTAGTTGCCAATATCTTGAAAAATGGTCATACCGTTCATTGTGGCACATCACCACAAGCGACGCTGGCAGCTTGGCTTCACACCCCTCCAATCGTTCTCCACCACTGAATAAACTGTTGAAAGACTAAGAAAAGCTGTTGTAAAGAACATGCAGCAGGTGGTATGGCCTGTGTCCCTCAGTCTCCAGCCCACGTGATTTGCCACTCAGTTGCGGAGAATTACAGTGTGACTCAAAAACCACAGCTAAAAAGTGGGGGCATGAGTTTTGGCTTACATGGGAGCCTGGGTTTTGGTGGAGGAAGGAAGCGGGAAGTTTATTAGTAAAATAATGGCAGTGGGCAAAGCTTTTCTTAAAGTTAAAGGCACCTAGGAGATTTGAAATGTACATACTTTCCTTTTTTTTATTTCTTCTCTCTTTTTCCTTTTCCTCTTACCCTTTACTTTGCTTCACTCTTGAAGAGAAAAGGGAATCATGCTTTACTGGGTGATGACTGGGAACCCACTCCCTTGGCACCTCTGTGTCCCTAGGATAGCTACATGAGATGGGAACTGTAAAGACTGCGGTAATACATCTCAGCTGAATGTTTGCTACCAGGGCAAAAGGTGGATGTTTTGGCCACCTAAGAAAGTGTTAATGTTTTTTTTCCTCACATTTTATGAAAAAGCAGACATAGTGTAATACAGCGCTTGTAGACTCTTTAAGGAAAAACTGAGTTTGTTGAATTGTAGGCATTGGTGAACATCTGATTAACAGTGACTGACTGTAGTACAGTGGGCTAGTGGGTTCTGTGAAACCAGCCCCAGGGAGAGGAAGGGCAAAGAGAGAGGAGAGCAACACAGAATTCATGATACAGCTCTAGGACTTGCCCAAATAGCTTGAACAGTGCTCTTCTAGTTCTGCCCCACCAGAGGGGTAGAGAGCCGAAAGAGGAGGTGAGAAAACAGGAGAGGTGAAGGCTTGATAGAGATTTGCAGAGAAAGGAAGTTGTGTTGATATAAAAGATGCCTGTAGTCTTCCTCCATAGCAATAATCATTGTGAGGAGCTCCCAAAATCTAGCCCTGGACTTCATTTATTTTGTGTTCCCAAAAGCTAGCCCTGGACCTCATTTATTCTGTAACACAGGAAATAGCAACAAGATTGGAAAAACATTTTAATTGTGATCATCTGAACAACTGCTTTGGACTTTAATCTCCCATTAATGATGATTGTTTAAAGAAAATATTTAAATTTGTCTGTTGTCTGCCTCTAATGGAAATGTTTTATGGTCAGATCTGGATAAAGGTTTATTGCTTCATATCTCATTTTAGTTCTTGGATAAATATTATATATATATAAAACAAACACACACATACAAGTAAGGATGTACTCAAGAGCTGTTGGATGGAGGCTTTGGTGTGTCTTAAAGCATGCATGAATTTTTGGAAGTAATAACATTTTCTAGTAGGTGTATATTAATAATTACTAATTTAGCACACAATTAATTTTGGAGGTAAATTGATTTTATAGCTACTTTAAGCAGATAATCTGGATTAATTCTGCAGTCTACCCCTCTTTGGGCATATCACCAATGGGTAAAGATAACAGAATCAGGCTGAATTCTAGTCAGCTTTTTTTCTTTTCAATTTTTTTCATTTCTTCCTGTAGCCTAAAGCTTTGGCAACTTCCAGTGTACTCAAAAACAAAGCAAAACCTTCTTTTTATAGTAAACATAACTCCTGATCTGGTGAAGAGTCACCAGCAGTGGGGGTTATTTTAATGGACATGCTGTATTACTTTAATCTAAGCCTTTCACCATCTGTTCTGCCTATAACAGTGAATGCAAAAAGAACATATTTTACATTTCAGGATTACATTAGTAAAAAGTAAGATAAAAGTGATTTAAAAGCATGCATATGTTCTTAGTACAATGCAGCCAGCATCTGTGATGTTTTTTCTCATGGTTAAGACACAAATCAAGAGGAAAGCTGCTAATGCTGATGTAGTGAAAGTTTCTTATGGAAAAGAGGACTCTGAGAGGGTTCCACTATATATTTAATGTTTATAATGATAAAAACCCGAGTAGACTGCCAGAAAATTAGATATCTATAACATCTATTGTTTGGACATCTGGCACGGTGTGTGGAGCAGGCTGACGTTGCTGCGTACGACGGGACGAGTGCTCAGGCCGGTGAAACACCTGTAGGAATGAAGGGTCAGGCCAAAGAAACTCACCCGAGAAATATTACAGTTGTCTGCGGGCCTAAAACACTTCCACGGGCTCTCATAAAGTAAGCTTTTCTTAGACGTGGAATTGATACTTTCCTATTCCCTTGCCCCTTCAGCTCTCCTGAAGTGTTTTTTTGGAGTGAAAAGAGCATCAGTGATGGCCTATAGCCGCCTTCTGAGCCTGTGCTAACCCTGCTGGTGTGCTCTCACTGTGAAGGTGCACTGGGTTAGCACTCTGGAAGTAATTTCTAGTCTTTGGAGGTGGCAGTTCGGTTTCCATAAACCAGCTGGAGGACCATTTAATGTATTTATTGTCGTTTATGCCAGAAAATTCAGAAATCACATGAAGCGATTTCAGATGTTGCCTGTCTGAAGTTCTTTATCACGTTTAACTTCTGTCTGCTGGTTAAACTTCGTCAAAAACCCAAAAATAATAAACTCTGCCTGATAGGAGTCAGAAGGTGAAAATTAGCAGAAAGGAAAACATTTCTGGTGAGGTAGGACTGGGATTAAAAAAAAAATATTTTCTTTTCACTAATTTTAATTGACCATAATGTTCATTAAATCTGATTCTGTTTTCTAGTCTTTCATCACTTGGCATATGAGAGCTAATTCTGACTTGAGGGATAGTGTTTCCACTCCCATTTTAGCAAAGCAGTATCTCTGATCATCCTTCCATTTCTAGCCCCGTCAATGTATCATGCATGCCCGTACTTGCAGTCTCCACCCGTCAACATCAGACTCCCAGAAGAAGCAGTGGTAGGACTGCAGCGGCAGAGGCAGCCTTATGATGCCAAAGAGAGATGTGGTTATCTTTAAAGGGAATTAGACATATTTTTGGCCTATGTCTGCTTATGTTGTACCTTAAGAATAAGCAGTCGCATCAAACCTCGACGGACAATATGGACCACAAGAAATTCACTGTGTTAATTTAATTCTGTCCATGGCCTAGCAGCTGCTGCGGGTGAGATCTCAAATGATCATCATTTACGTCGAGTACAAAGAATACGCATGAAATATTGCTGGTCTTGACTACATGGTTATATGGCATTACATGGTGCATTTCTGATATACTGAACATATACCCTTTGAAATGTTTTCCCTTTCTTTAAGAAAAGTGCATGAAGGCCTGTGCCATTGAATCCTTTGTGGTTAGGTCCATGATTTAAAAAAAAAAAAAGGTGCACGTTTTCAGTTCAGTGAAGAAACCCCCTTCAGAAGAAGCTAAGTTGAACCCTGATGTCCTTAGAAACAGAGAACTAGTAGAAGAATATCTATTAGAGCTAAATGAAATTAAGAATTTTCAGTTTGAAAGAATCTATGGCATTTATTATCATCATAAACCGTGCGAAAAATGAAATTTCATTATATTATTATAAATGAATTTTCCTCATCCTCCTCATTCAAGAAATGCATACTATCAGTTTTGTATTTAATAAGAGAATAAATGAGCTTTTAATTTTTTTATAATTACATTTATGTTTATATTATCTTATATTTCAGCTTCACTTTTTAAATTAAAAAATCTAGTCTATTACAGTCAAATCCAAAAAGAGTGCCAAAATATTCTAAAATTAAGAACAGTTACAAAAGTAGTTTTACTTTTGTGAATTTCCATTTTAACTAAAATTTAATAGTTAAAATTTTCTTAGTAATTTACATTTTTTAACAAAAAGCTGAATTTTGTCTATATATTTTTGCCAAAAAATTTACAATGATTCAGTCAGTATTTATGAAGACATCTTTGTGACTAAGCAGTTTGAAGACATTATATCTGAAAGGATAACAGAAGTGTTAGACATTGTAGTTGGTCACATAACACTGTGATGGCTGAATAAAGTTCCTAGTCAATGTATGCTGAGTTACTGGCATTTAAAGTGGCTCTGTAACCATCTTACCTCCATTCAAAGTCAGATTTATCCTTTCATCTCTAAAACTTGCAAGGAATATGGTGGTACTAACTTGCTGGCCTCCTCTATATCTACTGGGAGGCTTTTTGCCTACAGGTATTCTGCTGACAACTAATAACAAAATATAATTGAGCTCTTCGAAGCCACGACCCTTTCTTTCTTTCCTTTAAATAACTTATTGTGTTAACAAACAGTATTCACAAATATGAACTGGAATACTGAAGAAATACCCAATTAAATGCCAAAAATGAAGTAGTTCCACTACTGATGTTGCACAGATGGTTTAAGTTTCCATAAGTCAAACATCTGGTCAGTACTTTCGATCGGTAAGTGCATAAAACCTTGATCCTGGCTGATAATGAGGAGTTTCATAGCAACTCAATCTAATGAAAAGGAAGGTAGGCTTATGTTTTCAGGAGAGAGGCCTAATGCATATTAAAAGAAAAGGCAGAGTGGGCATCTGGAAGGTGAGTGATGGAATGGGAGAATTCCAAGGTTTCATGTTGTAATACATTGATTTGTGACACAAGTGTGCAGTACTGAAGAGGTGAGCATGTACAGCTTTGGTCTCATCCTGGTCCATAATCATGGGTGAAATTGATTTAAAGATGTTCCATGGAGTCAGACAGCTCCAATAAATAAAAAGATTTAAAAATGAGATAGCTAAATCCCTAGGAGGTTTAATAAGCATTCTTTTTTTTTTTCCCCAAAAAGTATCTAAAAGTTTGAAACGTTCATTACAATATCTAGAAATTTGTGACATTTAACTTAACCCTTACTTCTCTCTAAACAAATGCTCATGTTCCTATCCTGTCTGCTTTTCCAACTGCCTGCTAGCTGCTGCTTCTGTGTTAGTAAGGCCCTGCTTAAGTCAGGGTACCAAATGCGCGCTCTGCCTGCTTTGGCTAGCAGTTACCTTTTCTGGCAAATAGTTTCTGGATTGTCCTTGTTACCACATTGCAACAGAGCTGTGATTTTTAGCTTCCTACCGACCTGCCATCACTTTGGAGCTTTACTGTGTAGTAGTGTTTGTAGTCCCAGGATCTACAGCAGAAGTTCCAAGATACCATTCTAGGTAAGAAAAAAAAAAAAGTCCAACAACAAAAAAAAAAAGAGGAAAAGAGAGGGAAACCTCAGAAAAAGAACTTGAAATACATTCAGTTTTGATTTGACATGCGAGAATGCTCCAGGAGCAATGTTATTTCAGTATTTTAGTCCCTTTTGAAAGCATTTTGCCAAGGAGTGTTGGAACACCGTTGCTGAGCATAAGCACTAGCTTTCAAAGCAATAAGAAAAACCTGGACATATTAAAAAAATATTGAATTGCAACATTGATGTTTCTGAGCCTAATATTACACATCATAAAGGAGATGGCTATTAAGGGTCGACATGGGATGTTTTAGACTTTCATGAGGTCTGTCCTGTCATCTGTGAGCCCATTACAGGGTGTTGTACAGGAAAGGACTGGGAGTCCAATCAGAAGGTGCAGACGTGTGGGCACACTGACAAAAAACGCCCTATCAAATGCATACTCTGTCCTTTCAGTGCAGTTACCTGCAGCTTTCAGCCCAGCGTGGTAATTTCTCTCTCTGCTGCTTCTCCTGTTTTGCAGTATTCTGGATTTCACACGGAGAGATCCGAGTCTGACCACGAGAGCCAGTGGGGCGGGAGCCCCCTGACCGATACGGCTTCTCCCCAGCTGCTGGAGCCCACTGACAGACCCAGCGCCCAGCACCACGACGTCTCCTGTGCCTACAGGCAGTATTCAGACCGCAGTGCTCTCTGCTATGGCTTTACACTCGACCACCCCAGGCTCACCGATGACAGACATTTCCATACCCAGGCCTGTGAAGGCGGCAGATGTGAAGCTGGCCGGTATTTCCTTGGCACGCCGCAGCCAGGGAGGGAGAGCTGGTGGGGTTCTCGTTCCGCACTGCCCCTTACTAAGTCATCCCCTGAGAGCAGAGAAGCGTATGAAAACAGTATGCCCCACATAACTTCGGTGCACAGGATTCATGGTAAGAGATAACGAGGATTTGCAGAAGTGGCACCATCTCAGATAAGGCAACAAAGCCATGACGTAAACATGCAGCTGTTTATGTGAGAGATAAAAAATGAGAGACAAAAAATGAGAGACTCTTGACGTGTGTCCTTGTCTCAGAGATCACATCTGTGGAGATGAGGAATACGTGCAATTCAAGTTGGGTTTGAGAGTCTGGCTTGTATGCAGCAAAATAAAATTTTGTTGTATATCTTTTGATCTGTGAAATTAAGGTGAAAATATCTGACCGATGAGATTTTAAGGATGATCTTAAAAATATAACAAAATTATACACTTGGTAGAAATGTGTTATTTATTTGACTTAAGATCAAACTACTTTGGGTGGAACATATTTAGCAGAAAAACTAAAGTTAATCAAGGCTCGATATTACAAAAAGAAACTGTTCTCCAAATGAATTTTTTCTCTGCACTGGTTATTACTAGATCTGTAAGATTTGCTGTTTATTTTTATTTAAAATTGGCATTTCAAAATAACATTTGCTTTTGCTTTCAGACTTTTATCCCCAGCTATAATTTTTAGCCAATTTGAGTCTCTCCGTCCTGAAGCCTTGCTTGTTGTCTGGCAGGTTGCAAAATCAGTCCATTAGCACATCTTCAGAGGCTGAAGCTGATAAAAAAAAAATCACAGTGAAAGGCTGATACTGGGTTTGGAAAAATCGAGAGGTCCTTGGGCTTAAAGGGTAGGCTGAGAGTTGAAAGACTGCAACTGACGCAAAAGTCGAAGTTCAAGGTTGTAAGTATAGATGCAGCATAAAAAAATTTTTTCTACTAAAATAGCTAATGCACAAGAGCTACTTGTGCCAGTCTGAAAATGAGTTTCCTTGAGGAGTCCTGTCAACCAACTCAACTGCCCTCATCTGTCAAAACATAGGTTGTAGCTAAAGAACGCATAAAAGCTAATTACATTAGTGCCATTCCATTGACTTGCAGAATGAGGCTTTGGAAACCAAAAAGAACTGTACTAGTTTACACCAATCTGAGAAAAATTGTGTTGAGATTAGAAAAATGGTTAAATAACAAGTTCTAGGAAATACCATTAGAGGAAAAATGAGGAAAGAAAAGGAGCCCTAAATTTTGCTATGAGGACTGTTCTCAGCTTTTCCTGTGAGAACACACCTCCTCCCTTCTGTCTGTTCTGTACTTCTGTCATACTTGTGTTGCTCTAGCTTTTTCTTCTCCAAAAAAGAGAATTGAGTGAGGTATGATAATTTTACTGGCAAATTCTATGCATGGTAATTCTTGTTGCACATAGAAAGAGAGTAATGTAGAAATATCATATGGAGGCACAAATACAAAAGTGTTAAATATTTATTCCATACTTTTATCAAGGATAATCAATGCAAATGGATAATATAATTTGATTTTAGTTTGTTCCTTGGTTTTGCTGTAATTCCAGGTGCTGGTATTATTTTCTTTATTGTATCAAGTCTTATATGATTCAGTAGGCCTTCAGTCTGCATGTAGCTTTGGGGAGCTGATGGGAGGAAGACCTGACATATTGGTCTTAGTTGAGGAGAAGAACATCTCAGCTTCCCTTGCAAATGTGCCATTTTCATTTAGACTTAGGCAATTTCAAACCTTGGCCACTCACAAATGATAGTTTTTTTGCCAATACTATGTGAACATTTGTGTCAGAGCAGTTTCTTTGGGCAGAAAACAATTTCTTCATTTTCTGTTCTTTTGTTGTATCTTCTGGTAGTTCTGGCTCAGAGCTGCCTTACAGTAATGACCATTAGCTGACCAGTATGGCAGGCCCTGGATATTGCATATAAGCCCATGCGTTTCTGGTCACTGTTAAGAAGTCTGGAACACTGCAGATATGGTCTGTGCAGTGATACAAACTGAGCATGAGGTTTAGAGCCGTGGCCAGCCAGCTGCCCAGCATGTCATGGTGTGCCTGATGTACCATGTGCTCTGGTGGCTGGAGCTCCTTTCCACTTCCACGCCCTGGCATTTTGGGCCCAGACCTTAAGAAGATGTGAAGGATAAAATTATGCTCGTGAGATACTCCACAGTGCAGTTCTGCTACCTACAAAGGGCAGGATATATTTATTACAAAAACCCATCACTGATTGTGTTATGAACTCTGCAACACAACGATAGTGGTCTGCCATCCAAAGAGATCTGTATGCCATGACCCAACACAGAACAGGGGGAGCTACTTGTGCCAGTCTGAAACCGGGTTTCCTTTGAGGAGTCCTGTCAACCAACTCAACTGCCCTCATACCCAAAGAGGACTTCCTATGTGCTGAGGCATCGTTAAGTAATTTGCGCAAGTCCAACACATGCCCTCCTGCAAGCACATATCTCAGCAAATCCTTTATCAAGCATTATTATATTGTGGCTTTAGTTGGTTGTTCAGGTGTGGGGGTCATTCACTTTCTTCCTAGTGAGGATTGACAGGTCTGATTCTATCCTTTCAGCTACATGCAAGCTGAATAACTTCTCTGAGCCTATGGGCCTTATTTTTTAGAGAGAGGTAAGAACATAGTTGTATTTTCCCATTCTAAAAGCAATATTTATGAGTTGGGATATGACATCACATTTTCCCAGTAACCCTGTCTAACAGCTATGGGTTCTTAAGCTTCTAAAGAAGAAAAACTGTGTCATTAATTCTGTTTATTTTTTGTTGTGTAACCTGTGTAAAGTCACTACAGGGCCACAAACTATTCTGCAATGCTTGCTTTCTTTGTGTTTTAGCTCCTAGAAAGGGCTAAGAAGACACCCTGAAGTCACGTACACTCGTAATTCCTTGAGATTTTTGTTTTCACCATGGTCCCAATTCACTCAGGCTTTGTTGATGAAAAGAGGTAGTGAGGGGTCAGGGGCCTGAACATTGGTGTCCAGGGCACTTTGACATACCCTAGGGCACCCTGCCTGGTCTCGTTGCTCCAAAAGATAGAGTGCCTGTAGTGGTGCCATACCTGCTGGGCCTATGCAGATGCTTGGTTACCCCAGAGCATCTCAGATGGCACTGGATGTCTGTGTTGAGGCGCTTAGACCTCTTCTTTGTATATTTTCAGCTGTGCTACTTGTGCAGACACTGGAAACTAGAGGTTGTCACCGAAAAGCAAGGGGTCTACCGTGGTCATTTTTGGTGACTGTTACGAGTCACTTGCCTCTGTCTTGGTTTTCTGTCTGTAAAATAATGTTCAGAGTACTTGTTCTTCAAGATTGCTTGCCTCCTTCAACCTCAATGCTTGTCCCCTTTCTCTCTTTCCTAGGGAGAGGACACTGGGATGAGGACAGCGTCGTTAGCTCACCTGATCCTGGCTCTGCCAGCGAATCAGGTGACCGATACCGTACTGAGCAATATCAGAGCAGCCCGCATGAGCCCAGCAAAATTGAAACTCTAATAAGAGCCACCCAGCAAATGATTAAAGAGGAAGAAAACAGACTACAGCTGCGGAAAACGACCCCTGATCCACTGGTCTCCATTAATGGCACAGGGAAGAAGCACGCTATCTGTTTTGCAAACTACCCTCAGCAGCAGTTGGCAGGGGAAGTCTGTCGCGTCCCAACGGTTGCCAACACTCCTCCCTGTGAACACATCCAGCAACAAGATGGAAAGATTATGAGCCCACATGAAAATGACTATGACAACAGCCCCACAACACTGTCTAGGATAAGCAGCCCCAATTCTGACCGAATATCAAAATCTAGTTTGGTACTAGCTAAAGACTACCTGCATTCAGACATGTCCCCTCATCAAACCCCAGGGGACCACCCAGCAGCCTCTCCGAATTATTACAGCTCCCACAGGCAGTACTTTGATAAGCATGCTTACACATTAACTGGATATGCCCTGGAGCATCTATATGACACTGAAACCATTAGAAACTATTCACTAGGCTGTAATGGATCACACTTTGATGTGACTTCTCACTTAAGGATGCAGCAAGATCCAGCACAAGGACACAAGGGAACATCCGTTATAATAACCAATGGAAGCTGACACTTTTTTTCTAAAAACTTTTGTGCTTTAAAAAATAACCTTTGAGATCTAATTGGAAGATATTCTATGTTTTCATGCCCTTGTCGTTACCAGCATTTGATATACCACAGTGCACTAGAAAGAATAACCTGAGGTTTGGGGAGATAAGTTAGTTAACACACATTACTTTTAAAAAATAAAAAAGCACTGGCATGCAGGGTTAGAGCGAGTGGAGCTAAACTCAAAGTTGGTGCCATGCAATGTCAGAAGGATGGAAGAGGTCTAGGCAGGGAGCGCTTGGGGCAGGCTAGCAGAGCATTTTATGCACATGGTGTTTAAGAGGTGGTTCTTTGGAAACGGTGCCAAGGGCAAACCTTCTGAACTGTGTGTGCCCCACAGGTCCCAGCCAACAAAACTGCTATGCACTCTTTTTACACAGAAAGTTGGAACGTGTTCCTTCAAAATGCGTCCTTCTGTGTATGTGATCTGTTTATTCCCTAATGGCCAAGTATGTTACGCTGCTCCATGGTATAAAACATCCATGGCCAACAAATACAAAATCAAAAAGGGGAGAAAGAAGAGAAAACTCCTCACAATTGTTATTTCCTTGTGTACTCACATGCATAGCTATTACATACGCTTGACTTGAAAGCAGTCAAAGGAGCAGTATCGTTATGATTAGTACAATCAAATATTTACTTCTACTGTATTTAAAAGAAAGATGGACTTTCTCAATATAGTTTTGAGAAATACATAGGGCTTGGTTGTTTTGATGTAGAGATGGGAGGTTGTCCTCATACTTTTGAAAGGTCACACAAGGTGGGTAGTGGAGTGAAATAGAGAAAATTGTCAGGAGAAACAGGGAGAGTAGGCTGGAATTAGGAGTGGTCCAAGATAAACACATTTAACCCTATGGCTATGTATGCCATTTAGGAATAATTATGAAATAAGGAAAAGTGGTTCCAAGTGGCCAAATAATTAAGAATTAATTTGAAACACAGAAGTCGGTCAAATCATAGAAATTTTGCTGTGAAATACAAAGGCAATTGCATAAGTGTAAAAAATATGAGAGACAAGAATAGACAAAAACTGTATGGTGGTTTGTCTTCTGTTTTGGAGTAAAATAAGAAAGTGTAGAAAATTGTAACTACTCTATCTGACATACAGTAAAGTAATAGGTATGACTTTGAAAAAGGGATATGCACTCTTTTCTTGCTTACAGCAGAAAATTTAATGAATATCAGAACATATTACGGATATCAAAATCAGTCATATGTACATAAAAAATTACTGAGGGAAATCAGGGTTCCAAGAAATTCAATTGTATTAAGAATGCTGATATTATCAGGGCCTGTCCTAGCATTATAGAAGACATCAAAAGAGGCAGAAAAACTTTTTGCAATCTTTAATAATCTCATGAACAAAGAGACACTAATTGATTGGAAAAGAGTAAATAAAAAACGTATGCTAAAAGAAAGTAAAATAGGGCATTTGTAGGCACAATTACTAGACCTGTCCTTCTTTGTGTGGCATTTATATGAAGTCTCCAAGCTGACTGCAACAGGAGCAGGACCACCACTCCCTATTTTACCAATGCAGAGGTAAGGAGACTTGAGATGGTTACTAAAATGAGATTAGCACTAAGTCTAGCTTCGTTTGTAACATTAAGAAGCTTGACATATGGGACTGAGTCATCAGTGGGACTAAATATAAACCAGCATGCTATGGGTGGGTTAAAAATATCTATTTTCAAATAAAACTAATCAGAAGCAAAAGCTAAATAATAACATTATAAGGCACGTAAGTAGAGATGTACTTGAAAGCAGAGGAAATTACCTCTCTGAACTTGGAATATTGTGTATAGTCCTGATCACTCCAAGGCAGATTGTGAATCTTGAATTGAGTAGTACCTTACTCCATAAGCAATCTCTGTTGACTGCAGTGTGATCACTCCTGGTGAAATGTACGTTGAACACAAGGAAGAGCAACACAGTCTGGTCTTTATTATCTAAAGCTCATAATAGAAAAGGTGGAGCAGAGCTCAGCAGAAGATAAAGAGACTGAAAGATCTAATAAAAACTTTAAATAAACTGGGTCTGTCATCTTTGTAAGGGGAAAAAGTCAGGGGGAATGTCACTGGTATGCACCAAGCTCCGCACAGAGGAGAGACAAATAATGGTCTAAAACTATTTGAACTAGCGGCAGAAATGAGAGACAGGGCACTGAATGTTAACCAAGGCAAAAGAGAACAAAATGATATGGCAAGAAGTTTATTTGAATGAGTGCCAAATGAATAACAAAAGTCATAAAGAGAAGCAGCTAGAGATTTTTGTTTGTTTGTTTGTTAGTTTTGAGATAAAAACAAGGCAAATAATTAAGGGGAAGAAAAACATTGACAACTGTTAACTCAGAGGAAGGAATGGACCAAAATGGACTTCTTTCAGCCCAACAATTGTATATATTCCTAAAGCATAGGGATGAGAAAGTATTTTTGATAAATCTAGTTCTGGATACATATTTATTTCACTTATTCCTATGAATGCTATGAATAAACTTGTATTTGGAGTCTCACTGTACAGTATTAAAATACAATTTGCAAAGCGAATTAGAGTAGAGGTACATGGTATCATATTATTCCTACTAGTACATATAAAAAATAAGTCTAAGTGTCAATATTATTTTGTGTTACAGAAGGGTTTCCTGAACTGTTTGGATGACTTTGTCAGCACCCAAGTTTCTTGGGGTCATCAAGCATTCTTGTTATCAAGCTTTTAATTAGAAGGCAATAGAGTTCTGCAAACCATCTGCAGTTCCCTGGCTGTGGTCTAATGGCCACAAGTAGTCAGGAAACCACAGTTTGGGCACTGTTGTATTTTCATTCTGACAGGCACTTTTGAAAAATAGAAGACATAAAACAAACAGGCACAATATAAGATGCTTGTACTCCGTATGATTTCACCTAGGAAAAAAGCCGGTGTGCTATGCAATAAAAATTCCCCATTCTTATTTACTGTGATCCCAAAATAAAACTTCCCAAACTGTAGTTATTTGTTCTATTTTCAATAGTTCCAGTCCACTAGCATGACAAATGCAGCAAAATGCACTGTAATGAATGGAATATATCAGTAGAGAGGGCCGTGCATGCAGCCACATTGTGCTACAAGCAAAGGCTGACGCTCACTCCGCTTGTGGGATTCCAGCAGCCGGCACTCCTTAGCACTTCAGTAGTGTCTGCCAGAGGCAGATGCCTTTTTCAGCTAATTTGCCATCCTGCTTCTTTAGATAGCCAGGAATTTCTTCTTAATTGACAGAAAGCATTGAGTGCTGTAAACATAGACTCCGCATGCTACATGCTACATGAAAACAAGTTTGCAATCTTAATTATAGCATATAATATCACTGCAGCTCATATAACATGTACTTTTCAATATGGTATAAAGCTTATTTTTTCCATTACATATTTATTTAATTAATTTTTCATTTAGTATCCTTCAAGGATATCTTCTTCTATTTTTGTTTCTTCCTTTTCTAAATCAGATGAGGTATTTTGCAAAATTGAAAAATGCAAGGCATTTGTACCAAACACATTTCAAATGTATCACATTAGCTAAAGGTTATAATTTTAAAGAAGGTATGTAGGTTGTGTTTTGGAACAGAATTAATATAAGTTGCTGTGTTGCATCATTTCTCTAAGATAACAGTGTTTTGCTATTGACACCAAATGGTTATTTTGTACCTACTCCAAATACAGTGTGACCACAGCTCTTTCAAACCGTTTCTAACTGATATCAATGGATGGTGCATTATTATTTTGGTGCATTATGATTTTGGTATATCTTGGTATATTTTGGTATATATCAAAAAAGATCCCTCTGCTTTATACAAAATTACACCCCAGGGGCATGGAGTTTGTAATTTTGGACAAATTTGCATAGCTATTCTTAAATTAGAAGAAGAACCTTACTCAGCAACTTGTCCCATTGACTGAAATGGGAATATTTGTGGAGTAAGGTACTACTTAAGATGTGTAAGAGCAAAAAAGCTAAGTTGTTGTGAACTGGCAATATGTTTGGAGTTTGTTTGTGATTTTTTTTTTTAATCTCAAGATGTGAGTATGGAAACTGTGGAAGGCAGTAACTGTAGTGGCTGTATTTCTATGATAAAGGTTATTCATACATGCTTTGAAAGATTGAGTGCACCTCTCTGCACTGAAGAGCTCCAGAAGTGTTTCTTACGCTTTAAATGGCTTTTGTTGGTGTGTCGCAATACCACCACAGCTTACACAGTGAAAATCTGCTCTTTTAATCACTCTTATTTGAATCTCATTTTTATCTCTGGACATGCAGCATTTATTCATTAATGTCCTAAGTATGTTAACCACCATACGTTCATTTATATGAACATCCCGAGTGAGCTGGGAAAAAATAAAAGGTCGCATAGTATTTCTGGAAAAGGCGCAGCCACCCCAGAAAATCAGGCTGGCTATTCCGAAGGTCAGTTAACCTTTCAGTCAGGGAACAAAGCTGTGGCATACGCACTGATTTCCGAACTTCTGCATACAAAGCTGTGTATAATGGGGATTAGAGCACACAGTTCCAGGACTAAACCTAGCTATGTCTATTTTAAGGTGGCTATAGTTAATGCCTGGCAGCAAATGGATTCAGGCTCTGTTCTTTCCATGAGTTGGAAGTTTACTTAAAACACCTAGAGGTCTAAAGGCGATACAGGCTTTGTTATGGGGAGCAATGGTGGATGAACATGCTTTCCTGTAGGTATACTGGATTAGCTCCAGACACCTCCACAATGTGGAGGAGAACCTATTTTGTTTTATTCGCAGTTAGTTTTGATGGTTGAATATTTCTGCTGTATGCACTGAGAAGTAAAAAACCCCAACAAAACCACCAACAAAAAAACTCAAAACAAAAACACCCCAGAGTTTTTTTCTATGACCCTTCAGTTTGGTGCTAGTAAAGCCTGCTAGAGGGGTAGTTGAGGCTTTAGCAAAGTATTTTTACTGAGCT